ATATATTAATATAAAATAATTATTAATTAAATTATAGAATAATTGAAAAAATTATAATTCATTACATATTGTTTTCAATAAATATTATTATATAAATGTCAAATAAAGATTTGAYTATTTTTATTTATAATATTTAGAWATATATTTATATAAATAGATTTTTATATTAGTATTATAGTTTATTAGAATTTATTGTATATATTATTATTATTAGTTGTATTATAAGTATTTATTGATAAAATAATTTTGTTTATATCATTAGTACACATTCTAATAAATAAAAAYATAAAGTTAAAATCTATAAATATATATATATATAAYAGTYATATATAAATAGTTTTTAATTAATAACTAATAACATTAAATTAATTTTTTTATTTGTCAGTAATTATAMATGAAAACATATACTTTGAATAATAAAATTATTATTAATAAATAAAGTATATTATAAATTATACATACTTTATAATATAGTGTATATAATAAATTATACTATTGTAAGAAAATAATGATAMAWATATAGTATAATAAAAATATATGTAAAAACTACAGTATCAATGCAGATAATGCATATAATTTAATATTAATACATAAATATCATATGTATATTACTCCCACATAGAAAAATATATATATGAATAGAAATTTCCACTAAAACTCTCATAAGATTATATTTTTTTGTTGTTGAAAAAAACTTGAACTTTGAAATAGATTTTTATTTAGAAAAAGTTTTWAAAAAATCATCATGATCATAACACTATAATATAACAATAATATCATATAATTTATTTTCATTTTCTGTTTAAATAAATAATTACCRAAAAAATTATTATTTATTAAATACATCAAACAAGTGGACGAAAAAATGAAAAAATGTTTTTGTTATAATTTGTAMTTTTATTAAAATTATGTACAAATAGTACGGTTTTTTGTAAAATTTGTCGACAAAATGTTGAATTATTACTATAAAATTTGATGATCAGATCTATAGGTTAAATCTATTGATTGAGTGATMAATTAATTATATTAATAAAAACTGTAACAATAAAAGCAAATAATTATCAATTAAAATKAAATTTTTATATTTAGAAAAATATAAAAAAAAATTAATACTTGTATTTAAGATRTTTTTAATTTATTAGCGACTATASTCCCACAATATTAACTAATAATAAATATTTTCACACAAATAAAACATTATTAGACTTTTATAAGTTTTTTAATTAAATTTTTGAAATGGCGTGGTTCATATTACGTCATATATATAAATTTTTTATATGCAAATAAGATATTATCTAAATGCGAACGTAAAGTACAAAAGTTTTGTATCAAATAAGTATAATATGTATTTATATAATTTTTTATATGCAAATAACTATTTGTTATAAATTTTGTATCAAATATTATTGTATTGTATTTATAATATTATTAATTGRAAAAACTTTAATTTAATTATATTATATTTTCAAAKCGTTATTTWAATTCAAATTAATAAAATATTAATTGAATTTTATTCTAAATTAATAAATAATAATATATGTCATAAATTATTTACTGTATTTTGTGYTATTAATTCAATTAAGTATTAAATATACWAAAATATGATTTTACATTARTATTTGTTTATTTTTTAAAAACTAAATAAAAAATGATGTTTCATTTTATGGTCTRTAATCAAATAAAGTATAAACACATAGTATTGTAAATATTTTTAATGTTGAACTACTCTTTTGTACTTTTACTAAAATTTGATAAATTTAATATACGAWATAATTTATTATTTATTAAACAAATAAAATTTTAATATAATATTTCCGGTTTTTAAAATTACAATTTTATAATATTTATTATTATTATTTATTTGTTTAAMATATTGTAGATAATTATCAGATAACAAAAATCATAATTAAATAGATTATATTTTTTAATGATATTATAATCTCATTATGTCAATCATTAATAAAACCAAAAAAAAAAAAGTTTTATTAATTGTATTGTTTTAATATAATACTAAAATCTAATTAATTTATATGTAAAAATTTAACTCATGACTACATTTTAGTTGACATTCATATATAAACATAAGTTTTTAGCTTTAAATATGAACATTTGATTTATAAATGTTTTATTTKTATGATTTTAATTTTTTTTAAAATAAATTTTTAGATATTTTATTATCAACAAAAATAAAACAAATGCCGATAACAGAAAAGTTKATAAAATATTGAAATCTATCATAAAAATCATTATTTTTATTTTATTCAATTAATTTTATTTTCATTGTTATCTCAAAGTTGTAATGCAATAAATAATATGTTTAATAATAATCTATTAAAACATCTATTAATCACTTTGAGTATCACATCATTAATATATAACAACTCGTCGGCAAATAAGACAACTGTCGACAAACAGAAGTTTTTGGGCAAAACTATTATTTAYACAATTGAAGACTTGGATACCTCGGCTGGRTATCACTATCAGCACAGTTATCCACAYCAACCACACTATCCACTAAACTATCCCCATTCATCAACATATCATCATCAATACCATAGTCCGACACCAGTATATCAATCGCATAACTATCATAAGCCATACGCTCATACATATAGCAAACATCACTATCCAGTTCACTATCACGAACATCATACACATAAACATGGCTACGGACAGGGAGGTTATGGTGGACACGGATATGGGGGTCACACTACCGGACAAAGTCATCACACRGACTATAGGTTGTATTAATAATTTTTGTGTATTTTATTTTTCAATTAACTAAGTTTTATTTWATAYCTGTTATAATTTGAATTATACAATTGAATATTAMATTTTTTAAGTGGATTATGTTTAATATTTATGTTAAATTATTTATTTATTATGTCAGACATAAWTTAGAAGATGTTTTTCAAAAAAAAATATTTTAATGTATAAATTTTATAATAAATTTTTATGTATTTTTTTTGTGTCTATATCCTTAAATTTTATTCAGTTTCTTAAAATATAATAGTTTATTAATAAATATATAATTTATATTTAGTGTCAATATAATTTACAAATTATATTTTATATAATSGAAAATAATTTTTATWTATAATTTGATTATTATGTAAAATATTTGTACATTATTCATTWATTATAAAAATAGATTTATTGAGTATCAATACAAATGTTAAATCTATTATACAATAATAATAATAATAATAATAATTTATTATTATTTTGTAATAACTAGTAAAGCGTGGGACTCTAGTGGTCACGGCAGTCACGGTCACCACAATAATTATGGTAAGTATTTTTAATCTAAATAATTATTAAATAATTAGTTTTTATTATTAGTAATTTGGGAATTGGATTTTTTTACCAATAATAGAAATTATATTATGGATGTATAGAGTAAATAAAAAAAATTATTTAATTGATTTTTATTTGTTAGGTAATAGYGGTTGGAGTAGTCAAGCGGCTGCACATCACGGCAATCATTGGGGAACCTCAGGTAGCGGTAGCCATGGGGGACATTATGGCGATTGGATAGATAAAGCACAGTGGAATAAAGATAAAGGTGCTCGCTTTAAAATTTAACTTTAATTATTAATTAATTTTTGTTAACAATATAATAGTAATGTAAAGTAATTGCTATAGTTTTGCAAACATAATATTGACATTATTTATAAATTTATATATATATATAATAAAATTATTAGGAGATGGATATGTTAAGAAATGGTCATGGGATAAAGAGAACGGGTAGGTTTATTTCATRGATAGTAATATATATATATATATATATATAATTAAAAATTAATAATTAATAATAACCTAAATATCTAAATTACATAAACACCATATCATCCCTGTTATCATCAATGGTATCAGTTTTAAAAAGCCCATAACAACTACGGTGCCAGTCATGGACACCATCAACATATAGATCACGGCAAAAACTATCATCACGACCACTACGGTACAAACGGTCATCAGGCTTATGGATCCCACGGCTCKCATAGCTGTATATATATATATATATATATATTWTTTATACATATATTTGATTATAATTTTATTTTTTAATCAATCAGCCGATGGCCATCACAGCCACGGACTCAGTCACGGTTCCCACGGAGCGCACGGTCACAGTCACGGTCACTACAGTCACCATAAGCCGCACTATTATTATCATCACTATTGACTTGTTTTATTTAGTATTTAAATTTTTTATTTATTTATAATAATCTATAAGCTATTTATTAGATAATAWTTTTTTTTATTTATATGTTTATAATATTCATTAGAGTTTAATAGATAGACATTGAATTATTAAGATATATCTTCTAATCAATTGCTGTTTTATTAATCAATTATTAATAATATGTTATATTTCATGTCTTTATAATAAATTATTTGACATAGAAATGTATAATAAAAATAAATAAATCATTAATAATTTTTCTATTAATTGGAAAATTAAGTATTGATAAATCAATACTAGAATTAATAGTGTATATAAAATTATTAATAAAATTACTGTCAGATAAATGGGAAATTAATTAAAACTTGAAATATTGTTACGATTCAATATACAATATAACATTATAGACGTATAAATTATTGACTATTTATTTTGTCTAATCATTGTMAACATTATTCTCATATATTATATTAAAGTAAATAACTAACATTTTTAAATGACCTTTAAATGGACAAAATGACATAGCTAATTTAGTATTTTATTATTTATTACAGAGCTATATAAATAGTGGTCATTAACTTGATGTTTTCAATTTTTTATAATTTTATTTTCATGAATATAATCATAGATTATTATTAAATTGATAAAATATTTTTTCCATCATATGTTAAACAATATTATTTGTTAGTAAAATATGTTTGCTAAAGAAAATGATAAAAATACAAATAAAAATTATTTAAATGTGAAAAATTGTTGTCACATTAGTCAGTATTTTCTCATTTCTATAATATTAAGTTTTATAGTTGTTATGATTGAATGTAAAACAACAATTGATTCAAAGTTTGATACAATAGTTAACCGGACGAGTAATACGACTACACGTCCGCAGTCGTATCAACGGTAATAAAGTAGTATTATTAGTMTATTATATCTATAAATCAATGATACARTACTCAACAAAATAGATATTTTAATTTTAAAACTTTTTTTATATTTATTAATAGTTTATTTCTGTTCAGTAATGGAGTGCTTAAGATAACACCTAAAATAGAGGTGCCTTTTGAACTGACCGGCAGTGTTGAGTCGGGTTTTACACTGGGACTGCCTATTACTGTACGTTTTCAGTCGCAGTTTCAATTGATGTCCGATTGGATCAAACAGGTGATCGCTAACCGACATAAAGGTGTGTCAACCAAAAACAAAATTAATATATCTTTAGGCGCATCATTAGCTCGTATATTATTAGGTATATGATTGACCATAATTTTGTTAACTATTAATCAATTTTATTTCATTTTTATTTAGCAAATATAAATCCAGTTACAAATGTCGAACCAGAAGTGGTGGACCAGTTATCCTCAACAGTTAAATCTGGTGGCCTTAATAGTACTATTCATACCCATAGCACTGGTACTGTTACCGGTCAGCGTACTGTTCCTATTGATCGTAACTCTACTATTGGTACCAATCGTAATCCTAAGCACATTATTGGTGCTACTGGTGCTAACCATTTGGACAATCATAAGGCTATTGTTGAAAATGAATTGGTCAAAAGTCACCGATCATTTGCCAGGGCTCAGCTATATCAGGTGAAATTAGATGYGTGTGCAGTATGTGTGGGTAAATATACAGTATATTTATTTATTTTAATGTAAACCATCACCGCTGATAATGTAGGCAGTTGTCCATTGAGACCATATAGTAAAAAAACCAGTGCTTGTGATTTTCATTTTGTTTTTTTTGTCAACATTTGATATATGATAACATTAATGTTAAAAAAGCATTTATATTAATATTTTGTTGTTTGAAAGGAATGGTATCAATAAAAATCATATTATAAATATGTTGCAAATATYCAGTAATGTTGTGTTTAGTACAACACTAGACTCTATAGTATACTACCCACTGGTCAGTCACTCTTATGTMTAGTAAATACTGTACTATAAATAAATTACATCAATATTATAGCGCAAAGAAAAATTATAGCGTAAAACAAATCAATTATTTAAAAATCATTATTCATTTAATTTAGTGATGTGTCACTAATAATAATAATAATAATATTTTTCATGTGGTAGTCATTAATTATGAGACGATGAAAACATTGAGTGTTTAGCACCGGTAGCATTTATATGGTATACCGTGTACTGTATTATATGATACTATAGCTAATTGTGTTAAAAATAAAAATAAAAACTTGACAAACACTCTACTGTACAGACATTAATGTATTTTATATTTAATATCAGAGAAAGTTTTTTTTAAATAATTGATGCATTTATTTTTCTAGATTTTTGTTGTCTCTGTTTGTATATTAGTATTATATAAAAAAATAATTAGTTAATTAATTAATTTATTGATTATTTTCTCTATGGTTTGACTATCGGTGCGGATATTTTTGGATATATTGTACCACAAAACAAACCCTTATTTTTTTGTGACGACAATTCAATAAAACAAAGAGTTTSACAATAAGTCACTCGCGATTTGGTAAAAGTTGTCTTCAAAGAGCTATCTGTGAAGTATCACAAACACCGCTAATGACACCAAATGGTGGACTAATTGGCCAATTGATTGACAGTTTACTTACGTAATGAACTCTAAAATAGCTTTTTATTATTATATGAAAATTAATATATTATTTGTTTTGTCRATTTTATTTTATTTTATTTATTGCTATTATTATTATTTAAAGACTCGACTCGTTATACGAAGAATTTATTGACGACTTCAGCGACTTTATAACGGCTCAAACTATAGGTCGCGAGTCATATGAAAAACAACTACCCTTTCAAACAACTAACGATAGTTTTATAGATGAATGTCTTATAACATACGGTWATTTGTGTCCATTTTCATTATTTAATATTATTCACATTTAACTATAAATATTTTGTATRTTATTTAATACTGTAGTATCAATATAATTGTTATGTATGTATTTTATAATGAACTATTAMTATAAATATATATATACCGCTAAATGTATTTGTACTTTATATTCAACAATTATTGCTTTAAAAGTGTAATAGTATTAAATTATAATAAAATATATTATAATTAGTTTAAATTATATGACAATTTTTGTATTAGTTATTATTTGTTTATTTACTATTCAATAATTCTATGTATAATTTTATTATGCAYTCTCACACGTGTTTAAATAATTATTAATATATTGCATTTGCAGATATTAGTGCATTATAATTATCATATATTTATAATTAGTATTTTATTTATATTTCAATTATATTAATTGAGATTTTTTGTTTTATATTTTTAGTTTTCTACGAAAATTATATGATTTTTATGTGCTSTATATTTTTGTTTTATAAAATAWATTTAATCAAAATTTATATATTTAATAAATTTAATTCRATAAATTTTTTTATAAAACAATTTAATTAAAATAAAATATTTATTACTAGTATTAATACATATATGTATATAAAAAATAATAACCAATTTATTTTGTATTTTAAAAATTAACTAAAAATTAAATTAAATTAATTAAATAAAAGCAACTGAAAAAATGTATGTAAAATAATCATTTTTAACATCAATTCACGTATTAAAAAAAACTAAAACATTTTTTTAATTTCMAGAATATTTATTTATTGTATTTTGACATTGAAATTATTGATACATAACTATTTTAGCCAATTAATTAAATTAAAATATTATGTAATTATAATATATTTTTTGAGAATTGATTTTAATATTCAATAAATAATAAATACTTTTTTGTGCAATTCATAGTAATAATTAAGAAAATATGTATTAATATTTTAWATATGATAATAAAATACATTTTCATRCTAACTGATAATACAACTTTCAAATATTTAATTTCTTAATTTTAATTATCAATTTTCAAAAATTAAATATTCAATTATTGGACATTAAAATACTATAAAAATAAAGATATATTATTATTATTATTGTAGTGTAACGTAATGTATGTCTAAAATGGATAAAAACTTGTGGGACCAATAAAATAGATATTTTTATAGTTAGCCGAYAGATCCTCTTTAGTRAACATAATAGGCATACGACGCTTGACTGTAAGTCCCAATTTGTAGGCTAAATCGTTTGCACCTTCATTCACATCCCATGTCTCCAAATAGATAGTATCGTATGCTATGAACTTAACGATGCCATTATACAGTAGGCCTTCCGCTATCTCATCACTGTTAGCGTACAACGGCTGTGGACTTATAGAGTTATCATTAGTAGTCTTAAAAATAGCATAACCGGCCACAACACCGTTCTCAATATACCGTGCCATCAATGATATAGTGCCCGGTTCTGTGATGGCATACTCAAGGAACTGAGCTCTATTGATGCCCGTCACCTGTTCATCATACTCTATGACATCCACCAAATTATTAACTAGGTTAGGGTTGGTTTAGACAATAATAATAATAATTAAAAATCATAATTATTCATTAATTATCTATAGTATAGGTGCTATTATACCAGTGATATAGTCGACATCGCAATAGTCTATGTATTTGTTGAGTCCAAATGTTTGCGGTATACCCGAGTAGGCTAACATACGCCTGTTAGGAATCACGTGAAATCCCGATTTTTCCCGGAAAGTAGCCACAGTTTTGGGCTCTGGGAACAGGGCTACGTTACGTTTATTGGAACARTGTTCAATACACCGTTTCCACAATGCAGCACCGATACCCTGGCGCTGGTATTTTGGTACGACAGCGTATTCGCCCACAAATGCTAACTCACGAGTAATGATAAAACCAGAACAAAGACCCAATATCTTGCCTTTTATAGTGTCAATCAAATTTAATTAACAATAATTTTAATATAAATATGTTTAATAAATAATATTAGTAATGTTTTATTAAAAATTGATAGTTTTTTATATTTTGTTTTTATTTAATATTTTTATTCTATTAAATTTTATAWTAATATAATATTTTTTTTAATTAAAAATAAGTAAAATGTTATTTTATATAGTATTCAATAATAAATTAATTGTTTATTAATWATATAWTTACCAGTTTCTGTATCTTCAGCAACATATAGACATTGTGAATCAATTTTGAGCATGGTTATATTAGTATGAYTGCCAACCGTAATGCCTAATGAGGACAGTATGTCGAGCACCTGGTCATTATCATAGAGTGCCATTTGTCGCACTGTATAATCTGGTCTTTTTATTAACGACATATTAACGACAAGTTATATGAATTATTAATTATTTATTTTTAATAATTTTTAACTTTTTAAGTGATTTAATATTTTTTGATAATTTCTAATTTTTTATTTAATGTGTTTATTATGTTATATTCTAATTATAATAATAAAAATACTACAAAATGATTAACTTGTGGTCAGTTTTGTGTTATATTATATTATTATAGAGTATTCAAATATATTGGACGCGTTTGCGCTTTAGTTTGTTATCCTTGAAATTTGATTGCAATTATTTATTAATTATTATTCTGTAAGTATTTTATAGCACAATAATTACTAGTGTATACTATTGAAAATTATGGCTACTTTTWCAGTAATACAAATGCATTATTATTATTTAAATACTATTTTTTATTATTTTTTCACGTTTTAATTGTATGCATGTGTGTCTGTATATAAATATATCACACACTCAATATATATCTCATTTTTTTCATTAAAATTTTTGTTGAATATATTGATAATTTTAATGATGTTATGCTAATTTTTGTATACTATATATGAATTTGCTRAAATAWAAATAATTTTTATATTTATAGATTAATATTGATTGCATAAGACAAACCAATATTTCAAAATCAATTAAAATTATTGCATAAATTTAATAAATAATTTTTTATTTAGATAAAAAAATTAATATTATTCATGTTCAGAGTATATAGTATTTAGAGTTATTTATATTAAATATAAATTGTTAATAAACTTTGTATAATTTGGTTGACTAAAAAATTACAATAACAATAAGAATATTATATGTATATTGTGATGGTTAAAACATCACTTAAGCACTTCCAAAGACAAATTAAAATATAAAGTTAACTTTAGATATTATAACTAATTTATACTGTATATATTTATGCTATTATGTATATTCTCTATTATAACTTAAAATACTGTTTAAATCAAATTAAGTAATTTGATTATAATTAACTATATTTAATATTATCATCAATTCTATATTAATATCCTATTTATTATTATTATGTTTAAATGTTTAATTAAGATTATAAATTATTATTGATGTTATAAATAACTTAAATTAATTATTAATTATCTAATATACTGTAATTTACAATACATGTAAATCATTAACTATCTCATTATAATTATCAATAAAATCAGAGTTTTAGAAAAGTATAAAAATGTAATCATTGACTACTAGTAAGTGTGAGCCTTAGGTGTAGCGGAGTTTGGCTATTATTCCGGTTTCCCGGATAAGTCATCTCGAGCTCCGATACAAGGCTCCCGAATACTACATATATATATATAGCGCAGTTACCAGTGACCAGAGCCCCGAATGGGCTATTCATATATACTGTGGCGTAATAGATAAACCATCCATATATACCGTAACGCTTAAATAGTCTTCATATAGCAACCCGTACAGTAATTACGTCACAGTTCCCTATCAAACATAACCCGCATTGCATATTGCTTCGTAAAGTTATCTTTACGGGCTATTTGACGGTAAACTATAAACCCGAACCGTCACATTTGGCGCAGTCGGTAGGATTGCAAATCCTTACCTATTATTACCAACAATTTAAACAATACCTGTCCTGCCTATGCATATACAATTATAACTGCGCTTCACTTATCATTTATATATCATTACAGTACATTAAAAAAAACAATTATACTGTACAAATCAGTCACCCAATATTTATCACTTAATATACGGCCTAATTCAAAGTTTACTTTTTCACGATAGTGCCGTACATAGCAATTACATATCAATAGCAATTCAAACCATATATTTACTGTAAACTTAAATAGTAATTACACGCTAATGTAATTACCCGTAGCCTATCTATATAAACTTAATTTGCAAATAATATAACTTAAATGCTACGCAATTATCACCGATAATCCTACACTTATTTAAAACTTATTAAACAGTATAATTACACTATAACTACAGTACACTTAATGTACTTATTCAATACTCGGCGCACATATTACCGAAACAATATCCGCTGTAAATAAATCACTTATTAGGGCCTCTCAAATAAAAACAAGTCTGATCTACGTAGCCTTAAGTGGTGGACGATCAGTATACCTATTGCGCGAATCACAGCCGTGCCAATCGTAAGCCGCGTAAACCTTAGTTGCGCTGATAGTAAGCCACGCGATACCGTAAGCCGCAATAAACCTAAACACATATAGCCCTCACTAAACACAGCGTAAACATTTAGCACACAAAGCACCTATAATACTAATATACATACTGTAGTTACTAAACATTAATTTCAATTTAATTCACATACACTAGTACTAGTAGCCGATATATGGTTACTCTTTCATAAACATACAAACCTACTTTATTGTAAAGTATAGACAACAGTTAACGTTAGTTTACTTTAAACTTAATCATACGTAAATAACTCGTATAGTCTATCAAACAATAAATAAATTTAATACTGTTAACAATTTCAAATACAATTTATTATTTCAATAAAAACTAAACTATATTAAACAGTTTAATACACAATTATAAAGTCTACTCTATAACAACATTCAATTAAAAATAATTTCCATTTACTATTTAAAAAAAACAATTCAATATACATACCTATAATATAACAGTATAAACAATATTATAATACAGTTTACAATACAATTATAAAGTTTACTTTTAAAAATCATTTAAATCAATTTAATTCAATCTACTATAGTAACAGACATATACCATACATACTAGCTATTCATACCAATAATAATTAAACTTATTATAAATACAAACAATATAATTATCATTTAAAAACTAATAAATATTAAACTATTATAAACACATATAAATTCATACATATTAAAAACAATTATTTATTAAAAATATTTAAAACATTATTATTAAACAATTAAGATACACATATAAACACTTAATTGTTCGAAACATTTATTATTGAAATTTATTCAATACATTTATATTTCACATATAAAATTTTATTATTAAAAAAAATATATATATTTAATACAAACTATTATCAAACAATTAAGTTACACTTATTTATCAATACTTAATTGTACGCATCATTTATTATTCTTAGTTATTAAACTCTAATTTATTATATCTATTTATAAATACTATACTACAGTCTATATCTAAAGTCACTTTAGATTTAATACAATTCAAAATAATTTATAAAACATTAGTGACATAATATTCAATTTAAATACAAAATTTAATTATAAACATATACTTATAACAATTTAATATTATAACTATTTATAATACATTTATTATAAAACATTTAAAAACTTAGTAACCAATTGTTAAGGTTACTTATTTAAATTATAAACATTTAATACTTTATATTTAAAACAATTTATTAATATAACAATTTATTATAACATTTGATTCCGTAACCAATGTTAAGGTTACTATATATAATATTTATATTATTTCATTTTAAAATAACATTTATTATAAATACAATTTAAAAAACTATTTAAATATGTCATTAACAAAATATTCGGGTTACATTACCAATATTAAAATCAAAACATGGCTCAAACTATATGAGCTATCCATACAACAAATGTCAGGTACCGAGCACATCAATCAACTAATATGTCACTTGAAATCTAAAGCTCTACAATTGTACGCCGACGAGGCTATGGACAAATACACACAATGGGACATCGATAAGTCTAAAATGCAATCACAATTCGGTACAGCCGATGTCCATCAAACAAAACAATCAAAGTCTGTACAATGCAAAGACAAGTATACAGACCAATCGTATACCAATACAAATCAAAGTTTACTTTCCTCTGTTGCCAACACTCATATCTACAATTCACGGCAACACTACAACAACACGGCATCAATGCACCTCGAAAACCTAAGAGATATGTTATCATTATATATTTGGTGCAAAGAACTAATACATACATCTAATAAATATAATCACGCGGTAAAACAACAAATAAATAACAATCGCGGCAAACAAACACCATTAAAAGCTAACACACACAAAGAGTCATTTAACATACATAAAGCCGACAAAACAAATATCACTCAAACCGTCCCTCACACACATGACACCGAGCAAAGTCGTGACACTTCTCACAAAGCACTTAAGTTTTCGGTCGTTGCAACACTTAGCGCCGGATGCTTTTCACAGATTAGCCACGGACAGATGTCGTGCTCCTCCGGTCGTCTCTCACTCACAAAGACTAAAATAAAAGTCTCCGACGGTAACAATAACAAGCCTCTGCTACCATTGTCTGTAAAGCTGGACATCAGATTAAGCGGTCGTCAATTCTCAGACACCGATATGCTTAAGTCCCCTGATCGTTCCACATGCACTCAAAGCCTAGTCATGCTTAATTATTACAAATCATACATCATCGGCAACTCAACACCCACTCAACTATATTTTAACCTAGACTTCGGTAAACGCTGTGATCGAATCTTCGACACAAATACGCGTGCAATACTCGAAAGCTCTACGGTTGATAATATTTCAATCATTGACTCTAAAACACAACAACAGACGCCACTACAAATACTAACTAACCGCTTATATAATACCAATGCCGTTAAAAAAATTAATAATTATTATCACATGTCATTACTGGACAATACATCAATTCATCGCAAATATGGCGATAAATATTATACCACACACATGTCCACATACAGTCAACACATAGACATGATTAACTATTTTGTCTTTATCATAATATCGCTACACTATCGACATATTCGATTTAAAGACCTTATTATTAAAGTTAACTTTAAACATCAATATAAAGAATTAACATCGCGCTCATCGTTACATAGAATTTTCTCCTATGTCGAAAATTCTTTTTCAACCGTAGAAGAATGTGATGGTTAAAACATCACTTAAGCACTTCCAAAGACAAATTAAAATATAAAGTTAACTTTAGATATTATAACTAATTTATACTGTATATATTTATGCTATTATGTATATTCTCTATTATAACTTAAAATACTGTTTAAATCAAATTAAGTAATTTGATTATAATTAACTATATTTAATATTATCATCAATTCTATATTAATATCCTATTTATTATTATTATGTTTAAATGTTTAATTAAGATTATAAATTATTATTGATGTTATAAATAACTTAAATTAATTATTAATTATCTAATATACTGTAATTTACAATACATGTAAATCATTAACTATCTCATTATAATTATCAATAAAATCAGAGTTTTAGAAAAGTATAAAAATGTAATCATTGACTACTAGTAAGTGTGAGCCTTAGGTGTAGCGGAGTTTGGCTATTATTCCGGTTTCCCGGATAAGTCATCTCGAGCTCCGATACAAGGCTCCCGAATACTACATATATATATATAGCGCAGTTACCAGTGACCAGAGCCCCGAATGGGCTATTCATATATACTGTGGCGTAATAGATAAACCATCCATATATACCGTAACGCTTAAATAGTCTTCATATAGCAACCCGTACAGTAATTACGTCACAGTTCCCTATCAAACATAACCCGCATTGCATATTGCTTCGTAAAGTTATCTTTACGGGCTATTTGACGGTAAACTATAAACCCGAACCGTCACAATATTATAATTATATCTATTTTTATGCAGTTTATTATAAAAAATAAGGTTTATTATTAATGTTACAATTATTTTTTTTTTATAAATATTGGTATATGTAATATAAAAAATGTTTTTATTATTATCATCATAGATTTGTCGTAATAATACACATAATAAACACATTGAATACATAATACATTTAATAAATACTGTACATGATTTTATGGATGCAATTGAAGTATTAAAATGTGTTTTGTTTTATTGTTGTGTCGATCATTCATTAACCTCAATATATAGTATATTTTATATACTGTATTTCAAAAAGCCTTTTAGACTAATTATGTTAAATAAATAACAAAAAGAAAATAATATACATATTCAAGTATAAGGTATACTTCATAATATATATCATATTATATGCTATTGAGGTAATTATTATTTATTTGCAAAAATATTTTTTTTGCATCTAATAGTAAATTGATTTTTTAATTGTATTGATATATTAGTATCAATTTAACTATACTTGMTATTAATATACTATGAATTTTGCTACACTTTCAACTATATAAATATAAAATTATATACATAATGTCAAAAACAAAAATGTTTAAATTATTATTATAATTATCATAATTATATGGTTTTATCCTTTTTAGWACTCATGTATGGCATTGAATAGTATGAGATGTTTAGGACAACAATTATACTATGGGTTTGTCTACTATTTTTTTACTGATATTATAAATATATTAGTAATTGTCATTAAATRTAACATTAAATATAATAGACATTAATAAATATTATACATTTTACTACTATTTTAATAAAATTGTAAATATCATATAAAGTGTACCCAACACACCCACACAAATAAAATAAAAATCGTATAAATATAATAAAAATTGATTTGTACTTTTTTATATAATATATAACAATGTTATAATTTAGTACTTATAATGTTATAAATTGGATAATAATTATATTTGATTAATACAGTATACATGTTTATGAAGTGAATAATTATCTTTTTAAATATTTTTAATATTAATAATATAATTTTTTTAAATAAAAAACCACTAAATATTATAAATTTAATGTTTGTATGTTTCTTGATGAGACTGTCCTAACTAACTCATACCTAATTTTAGCAACAATGTCAACACCATGTGATGAATATCAAGGTTATTAATAATACTAAACTAATGTTTTCAATATTGTTTTTTGCTTTTAAAATTAAAAAGAAAAAATCAGTTACAGTATATACATATTAAATAAGTTTTATTTGATTAACATTATACAGAATCTGTATTACAGATATCAAAACATTTATCTTATTTAAAGTAAAGTAATAAATAATTTATAATGGTCATATTATTCAAATCTTTAATTAAAAATGTATATATGATATTTAATATAAATTATTATACAGTAAATCCTTCAATGTTATGTTATTTTACGTAATCTGAAAATAGAAAAATTACATACAAAGTATTTAAATATATAATAATAATTTTAAAAATATATATATATAAAAATTATGAGAAAATTAATGTTAAACAATAAAATTAATTAACTAAGATTTAGAACATTAACAATTTATTTGTTAAAAATATAATTTATAAAAAAAATAAATATTTACCTATGATATGATGATAAATTTGTAAATTATAGTTRCATTTTTGTCGAATGAAATAAAATAAAATTAGTTATCCATTGTTGTCATACAATATAAAATGGTAGCATGGACAGTTGTGTTTCGCTGGTCAAAAATATGGCCGGTTGGACAAAAATTATATCAATTATATTACACACTATAAATAGTGAGTCCAAAATAGATGAGTCGTCGTCATCCATATTCATCTTAATTTTTTTGAAATATTTTTTGACTARTTTTTTGTTAAAAAAAAATAGAAAAATTAATTTTATTAATAATAAAATTATTAAGTTTTTTTCTGTAAACAAATACACAGTACTTCCTAATTGTTTGATGAATACCACAAATGAGTAGTGATATTATTGATGAAAAATAAAAACTAATGTTTTTTCAACAAAAACTTTTTTCGCCGTTTGGTTGCCAACACTATGTGTTTTGGCTTTTTTTGACACACAAACAAAAACACTACAAAAAATTGTAACCTAATTCCCGGTTAAATCACTTTAGTTATACATGTTTTCTATTTATACTAAAAGTTTAAATATACTGTTTATTATATATTAACTTTCAATCGATTTTCGCTTATTTGCAACAAAAATATGTTTAACTCTTTCAATAATAATAATAATAATGCAGTTTAATAAAACAAGTATTTTTCTAAGATATGATTATACAATTTTGTTCATTGCCTAACATATTACATAAAAATAGTTTTTTGAAAATGTATAATATATTTTGAAAGATATAAACAGCATGTATTATATATAAGCAAACATTACAAATTTAAAAAACTAGTTTTTTACTTAATAMKAGAGTTTCCATTATTTCCGCTATAGTCTATAGATATACAGTRTATAGTAATAGAGTATATCATCTGAATTATAAGTATGTGTGTTGTGTGTAGTATTTGAAAACTTGTAGTTCATTCAAGAGGACCGGCTATTGAAGTAAAACCAGTCAACTGTTCCGGCACTGGATTTTTGTTTTATTATTATTTTTTATTTTCAATACATACATATATAGTGATTCACTATTTAGTGAAGTCATAAATGTGGAAAACCATTGCAGGTTTTTGCCAACTCTTTGTGTGTGTACTGTCTGTATGCATGAACTGTCTCCTCAATGTCTCTCAAAATGACAATAAAAAAAGTAATATTTTTATGTTTTATCGTTTTAGTTGTCGTCTATACAATAAAATCATTAACTCAATCTACTAATTACATGTCTAAAAATATAGAAAAGCCCAGTTAAAAAATTTATCAAAAAAATAATGATTATATAGTAGTATTTACAGTATAATTATAATAATAAATATTAATAAAATTTGTATTTTTTTAATACTGATATATCTTATTATTTAAAAAATTGAAACTGTAATTATTAAAATAAAATTATTTTCAAGAAAATGTTTTATTAATGTCATTATATATGATATTTAATAATAATACAGTTTTTGTTTAATGAAATAATTTAAAATATACACCAAAAATGATTATTTTAATTAATTGGCTGAATAGTAGCGCAATCGAGAATCCTATTATTAGGACCGGTCTGTAAGCCGATACCTGWGGTGCCATTGATCATAGGCTGCATAGCGTCCATCCAAACTACCAATGATTTACCAGAAAGTTTTAGAGGTCCGGCAGTCAATAGTTCCAGTGGACCCATCAATAAAGATCCAGTTCCATTGCTAACCAATATATTTCCTATATATGTATATAAAAAAATTTGATATTAGGTTAATATAAAAAAATGATTTAATAATRCCTACCCATAACTCCTGGTGGGGATAACAGTCCCAATGGACCCGACATTATATTGCGTCGAGGATTATATACGTTTCCCACATTAGCACATGTATTGTTGGCGCCGTTAGTTTCACGAATAGACGGTTCTTCGGTGGTAAACATCGGAAAAATACTTTGCAATGGATTTAATGGTTGACTAAAAATCTCGCGAATATTTGGTAAACGTATGTTTGAAAAGTTGAATAACATTTGACGCCATTCCCATTGATCGGAGTGTCCGTCAGGCAATAATATGTGTTCGCCCGGCGCCGCCTTATTATCTTCAATTGTTATATGYCKCCAATTGTTAATACTGATGCCAAGCATACAKGAATTGATAAGTGARGCCTGTTTTGGATTATTTGTGGCCGATGTTCCGTTCAAACAGCTAATATTCCTCAGCTGACCCATAAGATATGAGCCCAAACCGGTATTGTAGTGCAATGTTATGGCTCCCTGTATACCACTGGCCGTATTATTGAACAGTGCAATTCCATTGCGGGCACTGTTACCTAAATGAATCAATAAATGAAACGATATTTAAAATTATTGTCAAATACTCGCTAAATGGACAATAAAAATAAATATTTTTTAAAAATCTAATTACAAAATAATAGTCATACCCTTAGATATTAAAAATGTTAAAAATAATATAATRASTTTCATTGTGTTGTAAATTAAGTTGTAGTTTTTAATAGAAAAAATTGTAAACAACAAAAATATAAAAATAAAATGATACTAATTTTGTTTAAATACTAAACTATATATCAATAATTGACATAATTTTGATTACATTTTGTGTATATATTTAATATCAAGTGAAAATTCAAAATCACATTTTTGAATAATAATAATAATAAAATATATACACTATAATAAATTTATAATTATATTTATAACATTAATTATAATGCGGGTACTAATTGATTATTTTATGTGTTTATAAAACATATTTATTGTATTTTATTTAAAAAAATTAATTCTTAACCATTTGGTTTGTCTGATAAAAAACAATGAAATGGCAAATATTTAATTTATATATAATTTTATTACTTTATTAAGTTATATAAATTAATTATTAAATAATTATGTCAGTWATACTCATAATATTTACTATTTTTATGAATATAAAGTATTATTTTTGTAACATTATGTTTGCTCTCAATTTTTTTTTATATATATAAGTCAATGTCTAAAAATTGAAAATAAAATAATTAATAACTTTTATATAATATACAGTATGTTGTTATCATATGTGTTATATTTTATTTATAAAAATTAATTTCACAGTAATTGATAAGTAATTTTTCACAGTTAATAAATATGAAATAATATCATAAATAGTTTAATATTATTTATATGTCTAATCAATATAAAAAATATATTGACAAGTTGTCACATCTAAGTCTATTGTATTATTGAATAAAAGTATCATGTTGGATTTAGATATAATATATGTTGTAAAAATATATACTACATACATAATTATATTATTTTAATTAATTTGACACAATGCATTTTTCAAATATTTAATATTTTATTTAATATATTATTAAAAATAGACAATTAATACATAYTGTATACATATTTATAATACATTTTTAATTATATAACATAATTTCTTTTTAATTTAAATATATCTTTATTAATAATATATTATCATGGTTAAGTTAATTTATTYGCACATTTTAAAATATACTGTATTTAACTTATTACTAAAATATCATAATTGTGTTTCAAAATATATTATATAGATATTTATTTAAAAAAAACATAACCRGTAATCTTATATATAAAATGTAATATATTGTTATTTTTATTAACTTATTGATACTATAGTATAAATATAAAATAATCTATAATATTAACAAATTTTTATAATATACTGCTTTACCATATATTGTAGTAYAATATCAACTATTGACTATAAAATAAAAAAATAGAATTAATATAAAACACAAAAATTATGACATAAACTGACATTTAAGAAATAAAATGACATTTTGTTAATCTTTGTTCACAAATTGTTAAATTGATTAAATAACTTAAAGTATTAGTTATAATATATTTGATAAATGTTTTGTTATAAAAAGAGATGTAATACAATTTGTTTTTTATATACTAAAATTTAATTTTCAACTAAAATTGACATTTTTATTAAGTATATTTTACAAATAGATTTTTGTACATTTTTTTATTTATTTATAAATWAATTTTTWWAAAATGTTAGAAAAATTATTTTTATTACTTGCCTTAATTGTGCAATTGGTTTGCAGTGATGTAACGGTAAATACTACGTCGGGTATAATTAAGGGAATTACSGTTAAAGCACTGAACACAAGTATCAATCAATTTTTGAGTATACCATATGCTGAGCCACCTATAGGTGCGCTAAGATTTGCCAAAACTGTTCCCATAAAAGCACCCAAAAAGGTTTTTTCAATATATTTGTTATTTATTGAACGTAAATATTATATATATAGATATTCTGTTAATTATTAAATAGGGTATAATTGATGGCACAAAACTGGGGCCCTCCTGCTATCAATACGATGATATATTTAAACCATTAATTAATGAAGTCAGTGAGGACTGTTTGATTTTAAATGTATGGTCACCGGCAGCTACTGGAAACGTATCGTCAGCACTAAAACCTGTTATGTTTTGGATATATGGCGGGGCTCTCAAGAGTGGGTCAATATCGTTGCCATCGTATAACGGTTCAGTATTAGCCTCATATGATGTGGTGCTGGTAGCTGTTAATTATCGGGTCGGACCGTTTGGTTTTCTATACGGTGATGAAGTCAATGCACCGGGAGATGTAGGCTTTCACGATCAGCTAACAGCTCTTAAATGGGTATGTATTTTGATGTTAATCACCGTAAACCTTTTAYTTATTTATAATATAACAATAAATTTYATAATTATCYAAATTATAGGTAAGGGAGAACATCCATGTRTTTGGTGGCGATGCCAATCAAATCACAATATTTGGTGAAAGTGCTGGCAGTTGGTCTACAACAGCTCAYGTGTTTTCACCACTATCTCGTGGTTTATTTAAAAGAGCTATAATGGAAAGTGGAGCCATACTGGAGGGCGCAAAGGCTGAGCTCCTGACCAAAACTACCGCTTTGGCCGAAGCAAAACAAATGGCCAAAACGCTCAACTGTTCCGTCGATAGCAATAGCAAATGGTTAGACTGTTTGCGCAAAGTTGACGCYAAAGAGCTAAACAACTACAAAGGTTTAGACATTTATCCGGTACTCGAAACAGAGTTCCTTCCCAGGAGTGCACAACAAGCSTTCAAAACAGGRAACTATAGCCAAGATATTGACCTAATGGCTGGTGTCATGAAAAACGAAGGCTCGATATTATCTCATATTTACTTTAATAAAAGCGATGCCATTAAGTCTATTGAAGACATGAAAGATCTTCTCGAAAATATGCCGATTCACGGGTTTGACAGAMAAAAAGTTATWGAATTTTATACGRCAGGCATCGACACCAAAAATGCCACTTCAATCAAACACGCGTTTTGGGAGTTTTTCGGTGATGCCGTCATCACATGCAACACGTATTTGTTTGCCAAACAATTTGCAAAAGTGTCGCCCAAACAGGGCGTATACTTTTTCGAGTGGACCTATCCGTCCAAAATTGTCGGTCCACTTATGGGCTGCACTAAAGAGATGGGAGTTTGTCACGCGGCCGAAATTGAACACGTGTTTGGATTGCCGGTCCTTATGGGTAGCAGTGATGCACAGTTTAGTAAAGATGTAATGAAATTATGGACTAATTTTGCAAAATTTGGGTAATTTTGTTTAAACACATGTTTTATAATAATTATAARAAGTTTTTATTATGTGTTTAAAATAAATTAATTTATTATATTAATAGTAATCCAGTTAAAGGATCATCAATTCAATGGCCTCGACTTATCGATAGCACCGGTACTGTAAGCAAAATAAAAGAAATAAACCCAATGGTCCCTGATCATATTATTGAAAACCTATTTGCAAAAACATGCGATGGATTTTGGTTAGATTACTTTCTACCTGCTGATAACTAAAATGTAAAWTATTAAAAAAATCACATTTATTAAATTACTTAATATATAAGCAAATTACAAAATTATTGTTTAGATTTATGATTTTTTTCAAATTGCAAACTTTTGATATTATAATTAATAAAATTAGAAGATTTTCAAAACCATTTAATTCATGAAAACATCTTATGGTTTCATGAATTAATATTATATGATATAATTTACAATAAATTATATTAATAATATTTTGGYTTATATTTTATTATATAATTGTTAAATATAAATTATATTTTAAAAATTAATAAATATTATTATTAATATCTTTGTTTGTTCTATAATTAATTAATTTTATAATTATTCTACTAATCGTTTTGACAACATTTATATATAAAATATTTCTATAATTTTTTAATAACTATATYTTTAAAATCATTAGTAATAATTACAATTATTAAAGTAGTTAATTGTGTACTAATATTGTTATAGCAATTGTTACAAAAAAWATTGCACACAGATCAGTCATAAAATAACATTAATGTATTAATATTTAATTTTTCTATCAAAAAAACATATTTTTGTATAATTAAAAAATWSTTWTATTTTTATAAATAATTATTTTACTTTTGCTGTTTTATTTTATATATGTCAGATATATAGACATTTAAGTTAACATTATTTTTATGATTATTATGAATTCAATATTTTAAATAAATGATATTTACATTTCTATGAATTTAAGATATATTAAGTTAACAATTGATATATTTAGCTATAATTTTAGAAATAGTTTAAATAGTTGTACTATTTGAACAAAATAATACTTTTATACTATTTCTAATTGTATATCATTAAAAACATACATAAATATACTGTACATTATATTATTCTATTTTTGTTTAACAATTTAATTAAATTTTACTACTGTTACATACATATATTAATACAATTTATAATCAAACAATAAACTAAAATTTAGGTCAAACTGTATTGTTAACCAATTGACTACTATTTTTGTATATAAATGAGAGGACAACTAGTATAAATGAGAGGACGGTATTTGCTCGTTTAACTCCATTTGTGTATCACATATACTGTACACACATTATACTGTTTTTAAAAGTTTTTACTAAATAAAATAAATGTAATTCAAATAAGTTTTAATTATTAAGTGATAATATATATATTAATCTGACATATATTGTGCCAAAATTTTGTTTTTAAATGTTTAAAAAAATATATTTTAGTGTGTTTGCAATAGTTTTATTATACTGTAAAAAATGACAAATTGACAAATGCAATTTAATTTATCAAAATACTTACACTTTAATGCAATTAAAAATTAAATAAATAATAAATAAAAACAAAAAATAATATTATTTRAAAACCCATAAAAATAAATAAATTTCTATTCAAYAATTTTATTTAAGAAATATATTAATGCTAATCTTTTAATATTAACTATAAACCTAATTAAAATTATTTGCTATTTGATTAATAATTTATTTATCTTATAAACTATGTACTATCACACACTATATGAACTACGATGTTTAATATWAAAAATTCCCGGGAATTTCTTAAGGAAAATAATTAATTTTGAACCCTTTCATCACGTATACAACTTTAAAGTCATTCACTGTAATCGTATAAATGATTTTTATTGTTAGTWTATTTTTTGTGTACTTAAATTAATTGAGATAAACTCGATGTACTAAAAAATAATTTATATAAATTTATATATATTTTTAAAACCAAYAAAMTATAATATATGAACTATAATTATATTTTAAATGATTATATTGAAATTCATAACTTTAAAATAMTATGCAGAGACATTAGTAAAATTTAATGACATTAATTATATTAATGATAATTGATMATTAATTATTAACTATTATGTATCTAGGTAATAAATCAGTTCAATTCAATAAAACACGTAATGCTATGTTTAGAGATATATTTAAAATAAATGTTTTTGATAAATCCACAAAATTCAATGATAATACTTGAAGTTTGACAAAAAAWATATACAAACATAATAATWATTATTATTTCTAATCTGGTACTCGAAAATAGTAACATTTATTTAACTTTTAGTTTTTTTCGAGTAGTTTTTATTATCTCTATAGTCACGTATCGTTTTTACTTATAGTTTATTCAAAAACTATGTTTTATGTATTAAATTATTAGATATGATTTACTAAATCCTATTATTATTATTATTATGAATGTTTAACGATTATAATATTTAGTAAATTAAAATTGTGATTTATTAATTTAGCAAGATAATAATGATCCCGGTGCTCCTATTTGTGTTTGGTCTGGTTATCCCTATATTTAGTAGAAATAACATTGATGTAAACACAAYAATAGGAACARTAAGAGGTCATAAAGTTCAGGTGCTAAACAAAACYATAAATGAATTTTTGGGTATACCCTATGCAAAACCACCCGTCGGGGAACTCCGATTTCGTAAACCTGTGCCCATTGAAAAACCATTTAAAGTAAGTGCTATATCTGAAAAAAGTATCAAACTAAAAAAATAATTATTTATTTAAAAATATATATTAAATAGGATATTATAGATGCAACTAATCCTAAATATTCATGCTATCAAAATTGGGATTTTGTAATGCCCCTGGAACAAAATGAGGATTGTTTAACMCTYAACATATGGGCGCCTCCTTTTAGTCAAAATAATAGCACAGCTCTCAAACCTGTAATGTTTTGGATATAYGGAGGTTCTCTGAGAGTGGGCTCAATATTCTGGTTCTTCAATAACGGCACAGCACTGGCCACTCATGATGTGGTGGTTGTGTACGTCAACTATAGATTAGGACCGTTTGGATGGCTATATGGTAATAGTGAATCGGCACCTGGAAATATGGGACTGTATGACCAGCTATTAGGATTAAAATGGGTATTTATTAACTACAGGAATCATATAAATAGAAAGTAGAAAATAAACAATTTTTWAATTTTTATAATTCTYTTAATAGATTCGACAAAACATACATAAATTTGGTGGCGATTCCAATCAAATAACTATTTTCGGTGAAAGTGCCGGCAGTTGGTCCGTATCTGCACATGTATTGTCTCCGTTATCGCGCGGTTTGTTCAGACGAGCTATACTACAAAGTGGAGCCGTGTTTGGCAATCGCGATGAACGACAACTGACCAAAGAGACTGCACTCAGTGAGGCCAAGACATTGGCCAACACATTCAACTGTACCGATGATCAACAATGGATTCAATGTCTTAGAGATGTTGACGCCAAACAACTAACAAAATATTTAAACCTTCAGCCCTATCCCATTCACGACACAGAGTTTCTGCCTCTTTCGGCACAAAATGCATTCAAAACTGGTAATTACAGCACAGGTATGTCRATACAGTTATGATACAATTATATTTARCTATTAATCAATATATAATCRCTTATCAATGTTTTAGAGATCGATATAATGTCTGGTGTTATGCAAGACGAGGGGTCACTATTGGCTCACATGTATTACCCTAAAAGTGATTCTTTAGTATCAAAACAAGAGTTTACTGATTTGGTCAAAAAAGTAGCCATTCCTCGATTGGACGCACAGAGGATAACTGATTTTTACTTAATTGGTGTCAATACAACCAACACTACTGCTCTCAAACACGCGTTTTGGCGTTTCTATGGTGACTTGCGTATCGCGTGTCCGACCTTTTTATTTGCACGTGAATTTGCTCGACACTCATCGCCAACACAGAGATCTATCTATTTCTATGAATGGACATATCCGTCCCATATGTTGGCMCCTGTGCTTAGCTGTACGCCTGAAATGGGTGTYTGTCACGCGTCGGAACTCGAGTACGTATTCGGYGATGTAGTCCTACATAATACCAGTGACAGTATGTTTAGTGAGGATGTCATGAAAATGTGGACTAATTTTGCAAAATATGGGTATTATTATTATTAATTATTATTATTATTTTACTTACAATTAAAAATTAAATGTCTATTTATGTTTTGTTATATTYTAGTAATCCAGTCTACGGATCATCTATGGATAAGTGGCCACAACTATTAGGGAATGGCATAAAAAGATTGAATACTATRTCTAAGATAAGGGAAATTAATCCCAAAATACACGATCATATCATTTATAATTTATTTGCCAAATCTTGYGACAGCTTTTGGAGCGACTATTTTGGTACAAAACCTATACTCAGAGGGAAAGGCATAAAAATACAACAYAAACTAAATCTACCGATAGATCGTATTATGGGTTAATAAAACAAAATAATAAAATTAATAAAATATTATTATTGCAATGTATGAAATAAATTGCTAAATTATTTATTTATTAAATACATTAAATTAAATTAACAGTATTAATAAATACGGTAACTTGTTTTCTAAAAAAAAATAATAATAATAAAGTGYAGTATATTTTAAAAAATAATAATTTAGAGTATTTTAAATTATGTTTGAAATTTAAAGTTTCATTGAAAAGTAAACTGTATAAAATTTTTATATGAATTATTGAGATAAAAATAATAATTACAGTAATAACGATACGAATAATATGATAATTAGATTTTATGAGTATTTGCTGAATTTGTGGCCAAACAGTACGGACACTGACGACTGTTAGCATTGGGAGCGGTATTGGCCTGTATTGGAGGCATCGGTCCATAGTTCGGGTGCACTGTCTGTGCCGGTGYTCCCATAGTGTGCATCGGTGGCGGTGCAGACATAGAATACATAGAATAGTACGGCAAATAGCTGTACGGATCCATCGGATAGTAGCCGTAACCGCCGTAGCTCTGAGAGGTCATCATCGGTAATCTTGTCGACGGCGGTGGCTGTTGCGTAGCAGAGACTGAACTAATGGCCTGAATGTTCACGTATTTCGGTGGAGACTCGATGTGAAGTACTCGTGGGTCAGGAGTTTCCGTAGACAATGAATTGTCMTATTTCTKGTCATTTAGTGATTYGTTGTCAGTACCGATAGTTTCTGTCGCAGCGGTATCACAGCTGTCCAACATATTGTCTCTGCCGGCAATCACTACCTCATCAAAGATGGATTTATCGTTGGTCATCACATTACTGATTAGATCTCCGCCGTCGGCACTGTTCATAATAGAGACCAACGTTTCGGCCGAWGAAATCTCTTCGTTTGTGTACTGAATTGTTAGGTCAYTGGTATCGGTGGTCACTGTCTCGGCCGTCGCCGCCACAGTAGTTGATCTCGTCATTGGTTTTTTCGTTGTCGGCATTATATGATAGTATTGATTACAGGATTAGCAGATAATCAAAAGAGATTTAAACAAAGTATTAAAAAGTATGTCTTCAGAAAAACTTTCGGTCTTTTTTTAGTCAAACACTTTGTCCTCAAAACGAAAATTCTTTTTAAAGTAACAATAAGTTTGACTTTCGCGAGACATGCAGTCTATTCATTGAACACTAAAYTTATATTAAAGCTATTAATTAATGTAAAGAATATTTTTAATTGAATTAAAATTTATTGTATTTAATTATTCAATATTTATTTAATGTTTGGACTTAAATCTATATTATAGACAGCCAGCAAAAAAGTATTGTCTTTACGCAGTTATTCATATATAAAATGTTAGTTTTATTACTTATTACTTATTAATTAGTTAGGTTAGTTTGGGGTGAGTGTGAGGTTAGGAAGTGGTTGGGTGGGTGGGGGTGGATTTGGAGTTTTATTTTAAATATTTGTAATTATTAAAAAGCAAATTAATATTTATTTTGATGATAAATTTAATGTATTAAAGTTAAATTATATAAATTTAATTGTTTATTAATTATATGATAATTGTAAAAATTATTATGAAATTATCAAAATTATTATAATTATTAGATGTTAGTCATTGTCACTATTAAAGTATGAGACCTTATGGAAGGCCTCATCGAAAGCCCAGATCATTGCAGTTAAAATTGATTTGTATTTAGAAGTCAAGTAATTTGTGGTCAATTTGTTTGGTTGACATCCTTGAAYWTCCTTAACCATTGCCAGTTTGGCACCTGACTGTGCTATCTTAACAAACGCATTCAGAGCACTTTCCACAAATTTTTGAGTACCATATTGTTTAGATTGTAATTGTATATATTTTTTAGCATATAATTTTGCCAAACTAAATTTTTGTCAATGAAACAATAATTAAATTGATTTTACAAAGTTAGCAAATTAGTGATAAGTTCTAATATTTAKTAGAAAATATAATAAAATAACTTATAAATAATAATAATTTGATTACCAAATAATTTTTTCAACTTTTGTATGTCTGGTAGTCGACAATAGTTCATCTAAAAACTGACGGTGCAATTGACACGACTGTTTCAATCTGGTATTRTAGGTGTGTCCAACTTTGATGGGATCGGGTAGTCGACAGTATGACAGTGAGGTTCGATAGAGATCGACAATTATCTCATTTGAAAGCAAACTTTTAACAACAGTATTGTTGGTCGACTCRAAATAGTCTACAAAAWATTTGGTGGCAGCGGCACTGTATGCAAAACATATTGTAGTTATTTGTTTTATGAAAAAAATTATCTAGATACTATAATTGTTTTTATGTATGAATATTTGAAATATATAGATATAACAGATACTATAAAGTATTTGACTTATACTTGACTATAAACATAAATTATAATAATTATAATGATTTGCTTAGTTTACGTTATAGTAGATACCCTATAATAATAATATTAATAATAATAACAATACATTTCTTTTTGTTCATCATTTTTATTTTGCTTTTTAATTGCCGCACATATGTTGTCGATATCGCGTTGACTATCGGGTAATGGTTTACAATCAATAACCAGTCCGTAYTCATACACACTCGCGTCTATCAGTTCCCAGACATCTTGTTCCCCATTTGTCATCACTATTATCATATATATTATCATATTATGTATAACTTTTCATTAATTATAATTAATAAGTATTATAACTGTTGTATCGTATAATAAATAAGTTTCTATTTTATTGAAAAATAAARTTTAGTTTGTTAACCCTTAACTTACCAAATAATAAAATAAAAAACAAAAAATAAATAACATTTAGTTTGTAAATAACAGACATTTTTAATTAAATTTTATTTTCTAATAAATAATATTTCTTCAATTAGCACTGTATAGTAGTATTTTCATATATTACATAAATTGTTAATATATTTAATAATTATTTTTATTTATAGACATTATACAGTTGTACACCGTTTTATTGTTTCTAAAAGACCATACTATGACCACCGATGARTTCACYGATAACATGTGAGGACAGACAACTGTACCGCAGTTATAGATYGTCGATTTGGTCATTACTTAARCCGGAAATAATACATATTGYGAGACAATKTATTTAAAAAAAAATTATTTGTTTGTATTTTCCGATCAATACRAACACTCGCAASRAATACATGAGATGGATAGACTTCTTGATGCCTACCAGTGCTCKKAAARTGGGATTATTGCTTAAAAGCTAAMAACAATTGACAGTATATTAGAAAACACTTATATAATGTTGAATAAAATGAAAAATATAGGACAAAGAATAAGATTGAAAAAGTGTCGACAATTTTKARRACTTTGTTAAAAATTGTTATATTTAATARTTATATAAATCTGATTTACAATTAAAWTTATAGATATAATTTGTTTAAAAAATGCTTATTTMTAATATTGTTATTAATATTTTGTTAAAAAATGGCAATTTTGTAAACTTTTAATTTATTATAGTTAATCATATAATAATATTCATCATTATTTATTTTTAAATAATTATTTTAATAGTGTCAAATTACAGTAAAGTAAATARTATATAATTACTAATTATTAATTAGTAAGTAAAATATAGTATTAAGCTTAATTAATTTATTTTACATTACTTAAATCTATATTATTTAAGTTAATATAAATATATATTTTTAATTATCTAACACATATATTAAAATATATAATTATTAATTAATATTTTGTATTGATTTATGTTGTGAATATTTAAAATTTATTAAAGTTATATTATAATTGTATATTAAAATTGTAAATTGCTGTATATATATAGCATGTTTYTTAAAACTAAATTTCAATGTCATTAACCAATAATTTTTATACTGAATACATTATTTATAAACTGTATTAAAATATCAATATTTGCATATATATATACTGCAGTAAATATGATAAATTAAAGTTTATTTACTATTTATATCATAATGTAGTGTTTCCTACAATAATTGCACACAAATTATACTTAATATTGCGTAATAAATTAGTTTCTTTCAACAAACAACCAGAAWTTTTTTTTTTATAAATAATTTGAATATTGTTTATACAATGAGTTTTTTTAAAACTAAAAAATATAATAAATATATTTTAATTTTGACAGTAATATGCCTTCATATATCATATATTTGTATTTTATAGTATATACACATACAGTAAAGTTATTATTTAAAATCATTTACAAAGTACTGAAAATATTTATATAGTAGTTATATAGTTAGTCATCTATGGATACCACACGCCGTAAGTCAAGTATGATATATAATAAGATCAGTTATTGTCAATACAATTGTCGGGGAAGACATATAATATTTGAAATAATATACTGTATATAATATGTCGGTACTCTTTACTCACTCTTAATCTGTGTTTTCTTGATATTATGTATTATATATACAGGAATATATTGCATATATTGCAGTATATTTATAATATATATATATATTTGGTGATAGCAATGGATATGCATATTGACAACCCCCCACCCCCAGTGTTGCATACATGAGACAACATGTGATTGAAAAGTTGTGAAAAATTATTTGCAAACAACAAATGATACGCTATAGTGAGTCTAAAAATAGTTAGCTTTTTAAAGCGATTATTATTATATGCACTTATTATTATCAAAAATGTAATTTATAACATACGGTATAATAATAATATGCTTTTGTTTATTATTTGTAGTAAAAAATAGTTGTCTTGTTGTCGTTGTTTATATTGTTTTAAATTGCAAAAATTGATGATTGTTTTTGCATCAATGATTTTTTTGCGAAAAATAAAGAAATTAAAAAATGGTATTTCGGTGTTTTTTGCATTATTGAAAAYTTCATCCCTTTCCATACCGCTACTAAACTGGTAGGACATACTAATTCCGGCCTTTTTTTGATTRTAYACCTGTACCCGAAAGGCAGTAAACTTATGATTATTAAAAAAACAATAGGAGCTGCCGGTGGCTATAAGTAAAGTACTGTAGTTTTTATGTGACAATAATTTTAAATAATTCAAACCCTATGAAGAAATTTTTTTTTGTTTATTTGAATATATATTAAATATATATATATTCTTGTTTTTTTGTTTATTATGCACTCCTTTTTCAGGTGTATTGCTCTAAACTGTATTACAATACTAATAGTGTGCCCACTATTAAGTCAACATTACATAACACCTAACCTTAAAYATAGYKTTTAGTGTATGTATGTATGTATGCATGTATACAGTATGTGAATGCTTTAATATTTGAATTTTATGTACAATATGTACAGTATTATCGATGAAACAAACAAAAAATAAAAAATCTAATAAATTTTGTATCACCGTATWAATTAATTAATTAAAATTATGATTTTATTTTTAGTAATTATTAACGTATTTAAAAAATGTTTAGACAGTACTATAATTAAATAAAACATTAATTAATAAAACTGTGATTTTCTTAAAATATTTTTTTTAAATTAAATGTTTGAACAATATTTGAATCCCAATATTAATAAACATGGATTTGGAGAGCCATGAAATTCAGACATCAATTGTTGTAACATTTGGTCTGACACTCATCACCTCATTTGTGCCACAATTGGCACATAAGTTGCGGTCACGACGTCGACGGGCCGACAATGTGTTTAACGTTAGCGACACCAACACTTCGGCAGTGACCACATGTGTGCGACACCGGAAAAACTGTCGATCTATTGAATCAATTGTCATACAGTTAGGGAACTTTTTTACCGGTGGACTACTGTTTGCACTGTTAGCTCTACGGCTAATGCCAATGATTTATAAGCAATTTAATATTGTTTATAATAATAGTAATAATACAAGTCTTAATACTAAGAGTGAAGTGACCGCCGCCTCTATTGTCAATGAGGACAATGTGCTTGTAGTCAATACGGAAACTACTAGTGTGTCCTCCAATATAGAGTCCATTACATCCTCAGTATCTGTGAGGACAGGTCTACCATATGTGGAGCTAATAGTGACGGCCTTTTTCTTTGTTATCTATTTTATTGAACAACTAATACAAGTAAGTCATTACTATTATATATATATTGTAAACCTTGTTTCATAATAATTGACACTAAATTTACTTAACTAAAGTAAACTACAATTTAATAGCAAAATTAATTATTATAATAGATTTTTAATAATATATTCAAATAGTATATTATGTAAGAATCTATTCCCGTTTTTTCTTTAAATTATTTCTATAATTACAACTTTTAATCGGGATTTAGTTACCCGATAGTAAATTTTTAGAATTTTGGACCAAATTATCTTAAAGGTCTTAGTTATTGACCATGGTAATTTTTTTATAAGTAGTCAATATATTGATAAAAGTAAACATATTATTTTACATTATTAGTATATTTAAAGTTATATGAAGTCTAATATTATAATCTTATAGTATCTTTGTTTCATATAAATTAAACATTATTTTTAAGAATATTTTATTTTTAAATTATTTATAATTAAATACAATTATGATATACTGTATGAAGTATAATATTTCATTAATATTTTTAAAATTAATTCAAGTAACATATGGTTTACTATAGTAAATTAATACCAGTATACTCTAATGCTAACTACATTAGATTTTCAAAAAAAACTTGAAAAGTTTTGTTTTCTGAAATCTATACGAGCCTTTTTTGTGTGTGTGTGTGTGTGTGTGTAGCAATTTTTTTATGAATTTTGAAATTCTGACTTCAGATTCGGTTAGAGGACTACTAATAATGTATTGAAAAGTTGCATTAAAATTTTGATATCTCCTCGGGAACATGGACAAAATGGCGGCCAAAGTAAAAAATATTTTAAGAAATTTTTTTTAAAGTATAGATTTGAATAAAGCATCAAAAACAAGAATAAAAAAATGCAGTAAAATTTTGATATCTCTTCGGGAACATAAAGAAAATGGCGGCCAAAGTAAAAAAATTAGGTAAAAATTTTAACGTTTAGAATTGTAAAGAGCATCAAAAATATGATATAATATTTCAGCATATTTTTTTAAAATGGCGGCAAAAGTACACAAAAATTTTTAATTATAGATTTGAATAAAGGATCAAAAACAAAAATAAAAAATATTCATTAAAATTTTGATATCTACGGGAACATAAAGGATAAGTATAAGCGGCAAAAGTATAATTATAGATGATTATTTTGTTATACTAAATCATTTGATACCCTACATGACAAAAGTTGAATTTATTTTGTTATACCTAGTCAATTGATACTCTACATGACTAAAATTGTTTATTTTGTCATATCGAGTCAATTGATACTCTACATGACAATATTTATATAATGTATATTTGACCAGTTTTTAAATTTTTATATATTATATAGCCGCTATAACTAATGGTTTTCAATGCTATTCAAGTTTTTTTTCTGAAAATGCTTTCTAGCATTCTTAACTGGTTTCTTGTATAATATATATATTGTGTATTTATAAATATTATGTACAGAAAAAAATTTTAAAAGTTTAAAACATTGAATTAACAAAAATTTAATATAATCAACACACTGTATACCCTATATTATTAGTTGAACTCAGATATAAAAAATAGTTGACTATTACTTATTATACCATACATTATACCATTATTACTGGTGTTACACACCATTTAACTAACTATTCTCAACAAACAATTACTCGATAATTAATTTTTGTTGGTTTTGACTATTACTATAACAAGTCATTTACCGATTGGGATGGTTGGCACACAAAAAGCTCATTGGTTCATTTGCCGGCACTCAAATCTAATGGTGCCTCAACTCAGGTCAATAAAGCCGAAAGCACTAATAGTGTCGGCGCCGAGTCAACAGAGCCATCACTTGTGGCCTGTTATAGAAAAAAACTGGAGGACGAAGTGGTCACCACCTTATCCATCACTAATACTAATACTAGCGATCAGTCGAGTAATAGCACTACCAGTGATACTGTTGATAGTTGTTTGCAATCATTGCCACCAAAATCACAGCACCACCATAAACCTGACTGTCCACTTGCTCAGCAACAGCAGACCAGTACAATGAATCGACGACTGAAAATACCGTGTCGGCCATCACATCCCTCATCAATCATAATAGTGTTGCCGAAACCGGAGGACAATGACATGTCCACAGTTTGGCTAAAAGTGAAGACCGGTTTGGCCATAATATCCAGCGTTTCAGTGCATCAATTGACCAATGGTGTGACTATTGGCCTTCAATCTGGATACTGGAGTTGGCTGGCACTGGTAGTCATACTGTTTTACACATTGTTAACCTCAATAATGATAACGAGAAAACTTATGCGACACTGTTTTGACTCTTATATCATGTTTTTATGTCAACTCATTTTTTCTACTCTTACTCCGTTAGGTTAGTTAATAGTAAATAATTAATAATTTAGTTCACAATAGTTAAAATATGATAATATTTTTTTTTTGATTATATTTTTTAAAAGGTATCATTATCACTAGTTTGATTAAAATTTCGGCATTCAATGAGCTACTAATGATGGGCTTATCTACCGGTGCCACATTTCATTTGACATTTTTGGCACTACTGCAAAGCGAACGGTGCACACGACTGGCCGGACTCATACAGTTTCTGGCGATGTATACGGGCTTTACTGTTGTCCTATGTTTTGTGTTATTAATCGGAAACAGTGTTTAATTACTTATTTTTTATTATTTAATTTATATTTATTTTAAATGTAAAGATTTTAATTTAAGATGTTTTTGTTGTTGTTTTTAAGTATAAGTCATAAAATGTTTTTATTAATTATTTTTTTATTATAAATTGCATTAATAGTATTACGGTAAGAATAAAAATATAATTTTTTATTATTAATTATTTTATGTTAAAATGTTTTTAAAATATTTTATGTCAACATATTCAATATACTAAAGAAATAATTAATTATTATCATTATATAACTTTATATAAAAATTAATAAATAATAAACAGTTATAATATATACTTTATATATTAATTTATTATATATTTTTTTATAAATAACTAAAATAAAGTTTAATAAATGATAAAATTACTAAAATTAAATGACTGTTTATATTTGAATTAATGTTTTTTGTTTTTCAATTTAGCAAACTTTTGTTTCAAATATTTTTGTCGTTCACTTTTTAATGTGCTTTCATCACTTGTGGACAGKTGTCTGATAATAAACCAAATCAATAGTGAGATAAACACTAGTATTGCACAGATAGAGGCTATAAAAAAAATAATAAATATAAATTATAATTTTAAGTTTAAGTTTATATTATTAAAAAACAAATTAATAATAATTTAATATTATTATACTGTATACCAATAATTAAGGCAATTATAATTGTCCAGCGATTAGATAAATCAATGTTTTTTGTTGTAATTGTGTTGTTATTTGGTAAGTGAGTAGTCGTTTCAATGATATTTACATTATCATCATTGATGTCAACTGTTGATGGAATCAATGGAAAGTGTTGTTCAGTAAAATCAATCAATTCATAGGTTTCGATATCTTTTRTAAACTTTTGCCACGAATTGATTTCGGAAACCTTGAGGTTTTCATAGTAATTGTGAGGACATCGAAGATATTTTTGGACAATTAATTTCCGTATGACTCCATACTCTCTCCAAAATAGATAATTTCCTTTTATGTATATCTTGTCTCCATTTTCATCAATGAAAGCCGTATCTAAATCATTGGGAAGACCTAACTGTTTCATCTGTCCTTTTTCTTTAAGCACAAACTTATCAGTTTTATTGTCAGATAAATTATAYAATTTAAATATTTTTCCCTAAATAAATGATAGATTCAGTTATATTATTATTATTATTATTACTTATATTATAAATTAATTTTGTTTTATTTACCGAAAAAAGATAACAGTATCGGTCTATTTGATCRCATATAATAGCATTGACTGAGTAGTTATGACCTGGAAATACCTGTCCAATCGGTTGTTTATCATCTAAATTTTGATTATCACTTTCGATGTCTTGAAGATTCATTACTTTATTAAACCTGACGGCACAGTGTCTACCATTTCTCGGGTCGATAAAAGCCGTTTCCATATTTCTATAGTTAACTTGTTTGATATAATTAATGAATGTCTTATTTTGATATTTAGTAAATTCATCAGTTAATACATTCCAATGCCAATAATAATTTCCACTAAATATATAATTTTTAAAACAATTGCATTGATGTATGCATTAAGACACAGATCAGGTTGACAGTCAATCCAGTGACCATTTTGCTTACAATTGAATTAATAAATTAGAGTTTAACTTAATTTTGTTTAATTATGGCTTACTTTAAACAGTGATATACGATTGACTACTAGATTAGCACCGGTGCTCTTCAACTCATATAAAGCATTGACTTTTTCAATTTGAAACATGAGATACAATTGCACAGTTAGCACATTGGAGTCGCTTAACTGTCTGCTAATCACTAACATAGTATTGATAMTCTTATCTAATTGTGTTTCACCTCTTAATTGAAAGTTGTTATCATATAGTTTGATCAATTGTCGGCCGGAGTGGTCTTTGTAGGACATTAATCGACAGTCCCATCTGCTACTAGTGCAGGGAACGGATGTCATTCTCTAATAATATTAAACATCAATTGATTAATCAATAATAAAATCATATAAATTAATACAACAACAAAAATAACATACGACCGACTCTTTATCAACTTCTGTCAGTTTTGCTAAATAMGGATATTGTGATCCATTTAAATGTTTGGCAGAAAAAAGAAAARCAAACTTTTTGTYTWTCAATTTGTATTCACAAAAAGATCTCTTGTATATGCCTTTGCTTTCTCCKACAATAATCTCAACAACTGGTTCCTCATCATTGTTGGTATAGGAGCTGACAAAKAGTTGGCCAGAGGTTTGGTTTGTGAATAAATAGACTATATTGTTGCGCGAATGTATGTTTACCCGATGATTGTTTACCCTATAGCCGCCAATATAGACTATTTCATTGAAAAATACATAATAGAGGTTATCTTTTCCTATTATAAAAGCTGTGTCCAAATAATCAAAAGTGCAACCACTGTATATAAATACCGGTATAACAAACAAATAAAAAAAAATGACATTCAGATTACTGTTTTTACATTATTTGAATAGTTTTATAATTACATGAATGGCTCGGCATATGATACGGGATCTATAGATATAATGATGGCAATGATCAGCCAAATGACTATAAACATGGATTGGATAAGCATTTTATTTTGAAGTTAATKTACAATAATAATGGAAATAATCTATAAATATCTGTAATATAATTTAATCGTTTTACTAATTAATATCTAAAACAGTCAATGAAATAAATTTTGAAATATTAAAGTTTCCAGTAATAATATCATATAATAACAACTACTATTACTATTAAGCGCGTATTAATTATTAGTATTTWTAATTATTATTATTAATAGCACTTATTATAAAAATTTTGCTCAGCATTTGGGGAATTCATTTAATTTTATTAGTCGCGTGCTTTAAAACAGTGTATTTATTAAAAAAAACATTTATTATATATTTAATTATGTGATACTGTGGAAGTAGTGTGTGTTAAAATCAAACCCATAAACTTATTGTTAGATTATTATTTGATTWKATTTTGATTTGATAGTAAAATCTAGAAAATCAATTATAWATAATCAATAAAATTGTATWGATTTTTAATTAATTAATTACGCAAATAAATTTMATTTGTTTATATTAGTAAATATATTTTATTTRYGATTTTTTCTTAACTTAMTKTATGTGTATTTACAATATTATTTTTATAAATTATATATTAAAATAAATATTTTGAATAAGAAGTTTAAGTTGTCACGTTTGACGGAGATTAAGCCTCAGTAGAGGCCTTAAAGCTTCATAGCTTCATAACTTTAAGCTTCATATACATATGAAGTTATATAGTGAGGTACGAAGCATAGCATCATAATACATAGCGGTGTATTGAGCATTGCTTTTTAATACACAGTAGTGTATACAGCATAGCATTATAATACATAGCAGTATATTTCAGCATTAGCGGCACTAACGATACTAATACATTACTATTGTATTAATTGACACTATATTATAATAACTAGTAAATAACACTATAGCATACAGTATACTACATATGCTTTATAGCATTAGAAACCTTGATTGCATTATTTTAAGGCAATAACTAGTTTAATGACAACCGGTACGTATTAACTAGGCTGAGACAGTAATAGCCAATAAGAGAGTAGTTTATATAGTTGTGTCACTAATAAGTAGTATATGATTGGTATGATTAGAGCGCCGACTCGGGAAATGTGCCGAGCATTCTGTTCCCTAGTCACTTGAGTGACTGGAGAGAGAGAGTTGAGTTCGAGACGCCGAGACTAGAGGACGTGTAGTATCTATTATTGTAACCCATATTATACTTATATATACTTAATCAACAAATTGGTATTGGCTAAATAGGTGGCAGTTACAAGAGTAACCATAGCGGAAAATGAGTCCTTATCGGCTGGCATAATGTCTCCTAATAAACATAATAAAATAAAAATAAAAATAATTATATAGATATAAATATATAAGTATGTTTAGAGTGCATTTAGTACTACTAAAATAATTTTTCTAAGTATTAAAAATTTTTAAAAATTTGAGCAGAGTTCTCTTTGGATTTTGTGTTTTCTCTAAAAAAAATATTTTCCCTGCACGCTACCCGCCTTTCACTTAAAGATCCCCTTTATAGGCCCGTACGGCCGCAGCCAACACATGTACGGTTCGGACTCTCTCAACTGGCCTAAGACAAGGGGTGTGATTGTCATAAAAAGATTAACCAGCCCTTTAGGATCTTTAAAAAAACCGATGAGGCCAGGTCCTGTACGTCGTTTATGGACGTAGTCAGAGGACAGGGCAGCGTATGACGAAAAAAAAATTTTGTATGCACTCAAATATGTGTACATATGAAAAAAAACAAAGTCTAATAACTCAACAATTATTGGATCAAAATTTTAAAAATTTGTCTCATTCTGACCGCTAAGGTCTTATCTTTCGATTAAAAAAAATTAAATAAAAATTTAAAAATTACCTTATTTTTACAAATTTAATTTTACAAAAATGAGTGCTTGTTTACAAACAAAGAGTAGTACACATATGACTAACAAAAACAAAAACACATCGGTTGCTATGGATAAATATATAATTTTAAATATAAATTAATTGATTGTCAATTTTTGAAAATTATTTTCAAGTAGTTATTGAAGTTCTAAAAATCCAAAACTTATATAGTACATACATACAATATAATCAAATGTAAAAAGCAACTTTTTAAAATTTTAGTAATGCTAAAAATAAAGATGAATTTTTGAAATTTTTTTGTAAAAATTGAATTAAAAAATTTATAACTCGAAAACTATGATAGGTAGATGAAGCAAACATAATCGGTTGTGCTTAGCATAAATATGTCTAAATTTTACTTAATAATCTTAATTAAAAAAATTTTATAATAAAAAAGTTAAAAATTTTCAAAAAATCGTGCTTTGTATATCGAATTGTCTTAAAAATACGAAATGAGTTTAATTTATAGCCATAACTGAGGAAGTATAAAATAAGAGTGATTTGCTTCGTCTGAGAGTTGTAATTTAATAGATAATGAAATATTTGTAAAAAAATTTTAATTTTAATACAACTGTAAATTCACTAATTTATTTAATAAACGTACTTTATGTAACACTCAAATGAAGCGATTTGCTATAAAATTATGAAATAGATCATAATTATTGGCATAAAAATTATTGAGCTTAAAATATTGACTTTTCAATGAGGTAGAGCATTTTAAATATTATGTCTATTTTCGGTAGATTGAGTTTAAGAATTTATTAAAAATAGAAGACGATGTCTAAAATTTTCGAAATTAAGGAAAATGATAGATGTATATTTATAATTTATATAAAATTAATTGCAAAATTTTAGCTATAATAACAAAAACATAAATGACGTTTATGTAAAAATTTTGTAATTTTATTAAAATTTTTAATAATTTTTTTAAAAATCAATGGAAACATTTAGGATAATTTTAAATAATACAATTTGTTAAATTTTTAGTCGCTTAAAACATACAAAAACATTAATTAAAAATATTCACATTTAGGACGAAGCGACGTCTATAAACATAATAGACCAAAATTATTGTTATTTTTTACGATAAGCGCTTCATTGTTAATAAGCTTGTATTTTAATTTTTATTGCATATATTTAATAGACTTTATGAAGTAATTTTGGGCTAAAAATTTTAGCCGTAATTATTACCATAATTAAGATATGTTAATTTTAAATTAAATTTTAAAGTTTTACTACACTTTGTCTTATAGCCGTAAAACTATTACTTTTAAAATCATTTAATTTGGTGCACATAAAGATTACAATATATTCTTCTAATTTGCTTAACAAATATTTTATTTATAGTAGTTGTTTTTGAATTAAAAATTTTTAAAATTATTTTACATAAATTTTTCAATTTTTTGAAAATTTTTAATAAATAAATGGTTTGCTCTAAAATTATGATTTCATATAAAAATTATGTGTTTATTATCTAACTAATGAATTTCATAAATATTACTTCATTATAAACTTGGTTGTGCATTAAATTATTTTTTTAGTACTTTATTCTATAAAATTGATAATTGAAGCAAATATTTAACATTAAGTCTATGGGTTTACATGTTATTTCTATGGAAATTTCTAAAAAATACAAGTATTTTTACATTATGTCTATGGGATTGTATGTTATTTCTATGGAAATGTTTTACAATTATACCTTATGTTTATCAATATTTCTATACAAACACAGTCTATAACTACTATTGTAAAACATATATAGATATATGAGGTAACCTTTTATTTGTTATATTGCGACGCCCATGTGACGTCATGAAGGTTGACGTAAAATACTACGGTTGAAAGAGGTATATATACGACTTTAACCACTTCATTCTGACAATGATGTTTGTTACTCTACTCTTATTGTTTGTGTTAATAATAATAGTTTTGATTTTAAGTGAAGTTTTCTTTCGTTACTATTAACATGATTTTGCAAAGTATAATTATACTTACGTTGGTTACGTATAGTATAGGTATCTATACTGACTATGTGACTTTGATCGATACTGGTGAAGACGACAAATTTTTATCAAATCAATCGTACGAATTGGTTAACGTTATTGACCGAAACACTCTTATCATACGAAATTCGAAATGCGATGTTTTGCAAATAAAGACATCGGATGTTAAAGAAAGATTTTCAGCAGACGTTGGTGTCAACCGTAGATTTAAGTGCAATGGATATGACAATGTCGAAAACAAAAATGAAACATCTATTGAAACAATACAAAAATGGATTATAATTAAGCGACAAATGGTCACTGTAGATAGAGACATTAAGGACGCAGTCAATCACGTCTTAATATATAAAGACAAAATGTATGAGCCTGACTACGGATCACAAATTTCTGGTATAATTTATATACACAACGACAAGTGCGAATCAACTCCTGTACCTTCAACGTATGTTACAGTTCACTACATTTACGATACCAGCACCGTTTTGTACAGATGCTATCATTTGCAATTTTACAGTAGTCAAATTGATAAAATTAATTATAACTACAAGATTGACTCTAATTATACGTTGGAAGTATTACTTATTAGTGGTAAAAAAATTTATTTCAAAACAAAAGAAAAATTTGGTAGTCATTCAGTAAAATTAGAGCCATCGTGTCCGACAACTGAAGATAGTCATATATTAAGAAACCCTGTACTCAACATAAGCACATTGACTTCAACGAAAACGATGTTTTCTACCACTACGGTTACCGTCACATCAATACAACCAACTGAAGTAATGAAATTAGAGACAACAACTACTACAATAGATTGCCAACCGACCGGTCAGTCGCAAAAGATAATTAAAAACGACATTAATAATGTATTTTTCAAACGTAAATTATTAGAATCAATAGGATTGGTATCGTCTGCGGCTCGCAATGCCGTATTTCGTCAATTTACTTCTCAAAAACCTCAACCCGTAACTCCAGTACCTATTCCTGTAGAAGATAATAGATTAAAACTAAAGATCACAAATTTTGAACTACCAAAACAAAATAATAAAGTACAAGATATTAAATACGAAGATGAGAAAGAAGATGATAATATCGACGTAATTCCTTTAGAAAACATATATGTTTCAAACATTACGAGGAAATTTGATGATCTAAACTATACAACGGTAGCAGCTTACCATGGCATTCAATTTA